ACAATTGCATATGTTATGAAGCTCTGCAAGTTACTAAAGTTTGATTTTGACTGATATGGTAGTTTCAGCAGAAAGCAAATTGAAGTGAAAGAGTTCACAGTTTTGTATTCTGTATTTTGGTAACTTCCCTGTTGCTTGGTTTCAAGAGGCACTTCAGTACAACAGTGAGCCTCAGAAGGTTCACACAGGCTTTCAATTTCAAGTCTGAATGTTCATCCAAGTCACAGGATGATACTTGAACAGGTTTGAGACTGGGACTGGTGTGAAGTTCTGAAAGCAGAACTTAAATCTAACAGAATATACTATACTTTGACATAGCAATAATGTAGCAATTTTCTGGGGTTGTGATTCAGATCACTACTTCCTGGTTACTGAAACCCAAGAAAATTAGAAAATTTATTTCCTCTGGATTTGGTAATTTCTCTCCACTTGAAGTATCTTGAAGCAGCTATTGGGTATTAGTTCTGTTCAAAATCTTACAAGTTATATTGCACACTTTCTAATAATACTGTTTTAATTAGAGATGGTTTTGGCAAACATTCCCATTTACTGCCTTAACTTTGAGGGTTTATTCTATTGGCATTTTTAATTTTAAATATTTGAAGATTAACTGTTCTTAGAATTTATTTGATATAAAGAAAGAATGATCTTCACTTGCTTGTTTTCATGTATTTCTATTAGTAGGAGAGGAAAGAATATTATTGCACTGTAAAGCAGTTTGGTTTAATCCATATTTTAAATGTGTTTCTACCTGCTGTTTGTTTGGAAGTGAATTCTACAAATGCAGGAGATACAGGGATGGGATACAGGGATGGGATGGGATACATGGGATGGGATACAGGGATGGGATGGGATGGGATGGGATGGGTGGGGTGGGATGGGATACAGGGATGGGATACAGGGATGGGATGGGATACAGGGATGGGATACAGGGATGGGATGCAGAGGATGGGATAGATAGAGATGAGATGAGATGAGATGAGATACAGAGGATGGGATAGAGATGGAATACAGGGATGGGATACAGGATAGGATAGGATAGAGATAGAGATGGGATACAGAGATGGGATACAGGATGAGATAGGATAGCATGGGATGGAGATACAGGGATGAGACAAGAGATAGGATGGGATAGGATGGGATAGGGATGGGATACAGATGATAGGATACAGGGATAGGATGAGATGAGATAGAGATGGGATACAGAGATGGGATGGGATGGGATACAGGGATGGGATACAGGGATGGGATGGGATACAGGGATGGGATACAGGGATGGGATACAGGGATGGATGATGGGATGGGATGGGATACAGGGATGGGATGGGATACAGGGATGGGATGGGATACAGGGATGGGATGGGATGGGATGGGATGGAGGGGGAGAAATGGGAGGATGTGGGGACAGGGATGGGGACAGAGGGACAGGGGAACAGGGATGGGGACATGAGGACAGGGTGGGGATGGAGAGGGCATGGAGGGGAGAGACATGGGAGACACAGGGTGGGGCTGGGAGGTCAGGATTGGGGTGGGGACAAGGGAACGTGGGATGGGCTTGAGGACAGGGGACAGGGAGGACACAGGGGACAGGGGGTCACTGGGGACAGGGGGGCACTGGGGACAGGGGGGCACTGGGGACAGGGGGCACTGGGGACAGGGGGGCACACAGGGTTGGTCGTGGGGGGCACAGGGACAGGAGCAGGGGGCTGGGGACACCCCATGTCCATTGTCCCCTGTCCCCTGTCCCCGTGCCAGCCACGCCGGCGCCCAGTGAGCGCGGGGACGTCCCGGGGCCACCCCCGGACAGGGACAGGGACAGGGACAGGGACGAGGGGGACGCCCGGGACGAGAAGGAGCCCAAGGGCCCTGAGAAGATGGAGACGGACGTGAGTGACACGGCTGTCCCCAGCACTGTCCCCAACACTGTCCTTTCTGTCCCCAGCACTGTCCTTTCTGTCCTCAACCCTGTCCCCAGCACTGTCCTCTCTGTCCCCAGCACTGTCCCCAACACTGTCCCCAGCACTGTCCTTGCTGTCCCAGCACTGTCCCCAGCACCGTCCTCCTGTCCCCAGCACTGTCCACAGCACTGTCCTGTCCTCCCTGTCCCCAACACTGTCCCCAGCACTGTCCTCCCTGTCCCCAACACTGTCCTCTCTGTCCCCAGCACTGTCCTTGCTGTCCCCAGCACTGTCCCCAGCACTGTCCTCTCTGTCCCCAACACTGTCCTTGCTGTCCCCAGCACTGTCCCCAGCACTGTCCTCCCTGTCCCCAGCACTGTCCTTGCAGTCCCCAACCCTGTCCCCAACACTGTCCTGCTGTCCCGCACTGTCCCCAGCACTGTCCTCCTGTCCCCAGCACTGTCCTTGCAGTCCCCAACCCTGTCCCCAACACTGTCCTTGCTGTCCCCAGCACTGTCCCCAGCACTGTCCTCCTGTCCCCAGCCTTGTCCCCAACTTCATCTTCCCTGTCCCAGCCCCGTTCCCAAAAACGTCCTCCCTTTTTCTGTCCCTGTCCCCACAGCCCCTGTCCCCAGCCCTGTCCTCAGCCCTGTCCCCAGCCCTGTCCTTTTCCCCAGCCCTGTCCCTGTCCCCACAGCCCCTGTCCCCTCTGTCCCTGTCCCCAGCCCTGTCCCTGTCCCCAGCCCTGTCCCTGTCCCCACGACTCCTGTCCCCACAGCCCCTGTCCCTGTCCCCAGCCCTGTCCCCTGCCCTGTCCCCAGCCCTGTCCCCACAGCCCCTGTCCCTGTCCCCACAGCCCCTGTCCCTGTCCCCACAGCTCCTGTCCCCACAGCCCCTGTCCCTGTCCCCAGCCCTGTCCCCACGTCAGCCCTGTCCCCAGCTCCTGTCCCTGTCCCCACAGCCCCTGTCCTGTCCCACAACTCCTGTCCCCACAGCCCCTGTCCCTGTCCCCAGCCCTGTCCCCAGCCCTGTCCCCAGCCCTGTCCCCAGCCCTGTCCCCACAGCCCCTGTCCCTGTCCCCAGCCCTGTCCCTGTCCCACAGTCCCTGTCCCCACAGCCCCTGTCCCTCTGTCCCTGTCCCCAGCCCTGTCCCTGTCCCCACAGCCCCTGTCCCTGTCCCCACAGCCCCAGCCCTGTCCCCAGCCCTGTCCCTGTCCCCACAGTCCCTGTCCCCACAGCCCCTGTCCCCTCTGTCCCTGTCCCCAGCCCTGTCCCTGTCCCCAACCCTGTCCCTGTCCCCACCGTCCCTGTCCCCCCAGGCCGCTGTCCCCGAGGTGCCTGTTCCTGTCCCCCCAGGCCGCTGTCCCCAGCCCTGTCCCCACAGCCCCTGTCCCTGTCCCCACAGCCCTGTCCCTGTCCCCAGCCCTGTCCCTGTCCCCAGCCCTGTCCCCACCGTCCCTGTCCCCCCAGGCCGCTGTCCCCGAGGTGCCTGTCCCTGTCCCCCCTGTCCCTGTCCTTGTCCCTGTCCCCACAGCCCCTGTCCCTGTCCCCAGCCTGTCCCTGTCCCCACAGCCCTGTCCCTGTCCCCAGCCCTGTCCCTGTCCCCCCAGGCCGCTGTCCCCTCTGTCCCTGTCCCCACCGTCCCTGTCCCCCAGGCCGCTGTCCCTCTGTCCCTCAGCCCCTGTCCCTGTCCCCAGCCCTGTCCCTGTCCCCCCAGGCCGCTGTCCCCTCTGTCCCTGTCCCCATCCCTGTCCCCACCGTCCCTGTCCCCCCAGGCCGCTGTCCCCGAGGCTCCCCCCTCTCCGGGCGATGGCAGCGAGGCCGAGGGGCCGCGCAAGGGGGAGGACGAGGAGGGGCCCCCCCCGAGGGACCCCGAGGCCGAAGGACCCCCGGCCCGGGAGGACAGACCAGGTGAGACCCCCCCCAAAACCCCCCCCAGGGGGACCCCGATGTCCAGGGCCCCCCCACCAACTGCCCTGAGGGACCCCCAAATCCCCAGGGACCCCCAAATCACCGGGGGATCCCCAAAATCCCCAGAGGGACCCCCCAAATCCTCCAGGGGGACCTCCCAGATCCCAGGGGACCCCAGATCCCCCAGGGGTCTCCCATTGTCCATGTGCCCCCCAGCTCCCCTGGGGACCCCCAAACCCCAGGACACCCCCAGATCCGACCCCCCATCTCCCCTGGGAACCCCCAAACCCCAGGACACACCCATATCAACCCCCCATCTGCCCTGGGGACCCCAAACCCGGGGCACCCCAGATCCGACCCCCATCTCCCCTGGGGACCCCAAACCCCGGGCACCCCAGATCCGACCCCCCGTCCCCCAGCTCCTGGGGACCCCAAACTCCAGGGCACCCCCATACCAACCCCCATCTCCTGGGGACCCCCAAACCCCGGGGCACCCCCAGATCCGACCCCCGTCCCCCTCAGGCACCGAGGCCGAGAAGGGTCCCGGGGCCGAGAAGGGCGAGGAGAAACCCCCTGAGGAGGAGCCCAAGGAGCGACCGGGGGACCCCGACCCCAAAAGAGGTACCCGGGGGGCGGGGCTTGGTGGAGGGGGCGTGGCCTCACACAGAGAGGGCGGGGCTTAACCAGGAAGACCCCTCCCACAAAGAGATCCCCTCCCCAAAAAGATCCACACAAGAAGATCCACCAAAAAGACCCTCCCAGGAAGATCCTTCGGAAGAGCCACCCCAAAAGATCCCCAAAAAGATCCCCCAAAAAGATTCACCTCAAAAGATCCCCCCAAAAAGATTCACCCCAAAAGATCCACCAAGAAGATCCCCCCAAAAAGATCCACCCCAAAAGATCCTTGAGAAGATCCTCATAAAATCCCCCAAAAGGATCCTTGAGAAGATCCCCATAAAATCCCCCAAAAGGATCCCTTGAGAAGATCCCCCAAAAAGATCCCCAAAAGGATCCCTTGAGAAGATCCCCATAAAATCCCCCAAAAGGATCTCTTGAGAAGATCCCCCATAAAATCCCCCAAAAGGATCCCTTGAGAAGATCCCCCAAAAGATCCCCCAAAAGGATCCCTTGAGAAGATCCCCATAAAATCCCCAAAAAGGATCCTTGAGAAGATCCCCCTAAAATCCCCCAAAGGATGTCTTGAGAAGATCCCCCATAAAATCCCCCCAAAAAGGATCCCTTGAGAAGATCCCCCCATAAAATCCCCCCAAAAAGGATCCCTTGAGAAGATCCCCCCATAAAATCCCTCTAAAAGGATCCTTTGAGAAGATGCTCTCAAAAGATCCTTCCAAAAAGGATCCCTTGAGAAGATCCCCCATAAAATCCTCCCACCCTCCTCGTTCGAATCCCCCCGCTTTGTCCCCCGACCCTCCCGGCAGTTCCCTCTGCAGACCCTTCCTGCTCCCTGGGGGCTCTAGGGGGCTCTGGGAGCTCTGGGACCCCCAAACCGTGTCCAACCCCCACAGAGGAGGTGAAGGCGGAGAAGGAGCCCAGGCTGGAGCCTCGAGGCCAACAACGGGCGGCGCAGGAGCGGGCCGGCAACCGCGGTTCATGTTCAACATCGCTGATGGGGGCTTCACCGGTACAGGGGGCTTCATGGGGGTTTGGGGGCTTCAATGGGGGCTTCATGGGGCATGGGGGCTTCAATGGGGGCGTGGGGGCTTTAATGGGGGCATGGGGGGCTTCACGGGGCATGGGGGGAGAAACCGCGGTTCATGTTCAACATCGCTGATGGGGGCTTCACCGGTATAGGGGGGACATGGGGGGCACTGGGGGCTGCACAGGGCATGGGGGGCTTCAATGGGGGCATGGGGGGAGAAACCGCGGTTCATGTTCAACATCGCTGATGGGGGCTTCACTGGTATGGGGGCTTCAATGGGGGCACTGGGGGCTGCACAGGGCATGGGGGCTCCATGGGGCATGGGGGAGAAACCACGGTTCATGTTCAACATCGCTGATGGCGGCTTCACCGGTATGGGGGCTTCATGGGGGTGTGGGGGCTTCATGGGGCATGGGGGGCTTCAATAGGGGCTTCATGGGAGGCTTCAATGGGGGCATGGGGGCTTCAATGGGGGCGTGGGGGCACTGGGAGGGCATGGAGGGAGAAACCGCGGTTCATGTTCAACATCGCTGATGGGGCTTCACTGGTACGGGGGGCTTCAATGGGGGCTTCACAGGGCATGGGGGGCTTCAATGGGGGGCATGGGGGGCTTCAATGGGGCATGGGGGCTTCAATGGGGGCGTGGGGGCTTCATGGGGCACTGGAAGGGCTTCAATGGGGGCATGGGGGCCTTTACTGGTATGGGGGCACTGCGGGAACTGAGGGACACAGGGGGCTTCACCGGTCAGTGGGGGCCTGGGGGGCTCCATGGGACACTGGGAGGGCTTCAGGGGTCAGTGAGGGGACCTGAGAGGCTTCACAGATCAGTAGGGGCACAGGGGACCCTGGGGGTCAGTGGGGGCACTGGGGGGTCAGTGGGGACACAGGGGACCCTGGGGGTCAGTGGGGGACCCTGGGGGTCAGTGAGGGGCACTGGGTGACCCTGGGGGTCAGTGGGGACCCTGGGGGTCAGTGGGGACACAGGGGGACCCTGGGGTCAGTGGGGACCCTGGGGGTCAGTGGGGGGACCCTGGGGTCAGTGGGGACACAGGGGACCCTGAGGGTCAGTGGGGGACCCTGGGAGTCAGTGGGGGCAAGGGGGACCCTGGAGGTCAGTGGGGGCACAGGGGTCAGTGGGGAGCACAGGGGACCCTGGGGGTCAGTGAGGGGCACTGGGGGTCAGCGGGGGCACTGGGGGTCAGTGGGGGCACTGGGGGTCAGTGGGGGCACTGGGGGCTTCAGGGGTCAGTGGGAACCTGAGGGCTTCAGGGGTCAGTGGGGGCACTGGGGACACTGGGGGTCAGTGGGGGACCCTGGGGGGTCAGTGAGGGGCACAGGGGACCCTGGGGGTCAGTGGGGGTCAGTGGGGACACTGGGGGTCAGTGGGGGCACTGGGGGACCCTAGGGGTCAGTGAGGGGCACTGGGGGTCAGTGGGGGCACTGGGGACCCTGGGGGTCAGTGGGGGGACACTGGGGGTCAGTGGAGGCACTGGGGGCACAGGGGACCCTGGGGATCAGTGGGGGCACTGGGGGATCAGTGGGGGCACTGGGGGGTCAGTGAGGGCACAGGGGTCACTGGGGGCACTGGGGGCACTGGGGGTCAGTGGGGGACACTGGGGGTCAGTGGGGGCACTGGGGGTCAGTGGGGGCACTGGGGACCCTGGGGTCAGTGGGGGGCACTGGGGGGTCAGTGGGGGACCCTGGGGTCAGTGGGGGGCACTGGGGGTCAGTGGGGGGCACTGGGGGACCCTGGGGGGCTCCTCAGGTCAATGGGGTGAGGGGGCACCGCGGGGGTCCCAAGGGGGGTCTCAGCGCCCTTTTCTTTGCCCCCCCAGAGCTGCACACGCTGTGGCAGAACGAGGAGCGCGCTGCCATCTCCTCGGGGAAGCTCAACGAGATCTGGCACCGGCGCCACGACTACTGGCTGCTGGCCGGCATCGTCCTGTATCCCCCACCCCAAATTCCTGCCCCCCTGGGGCTGGAGACCCCCTCCCTGGGGCTGGAGACCCTTCCCTGCCATGGGGACCCCTCCCTGGGGCTGCTGGCCGGCATCGTCCTGTATCCCCCACCCAAATTCCTGCCCCCTGGGGCTGGAGACCCTCCCTGGGGCTGTGCCCCCTTCCCTGGGGCTGCTGGCTGGCATCGTCCTGTATCCCCCCACCCCAAATTCCTGCTTCCCTGGGGCTGTGCCCCCTCCCTGGGGCTGTGCCCCCTCCCTGGGGCTGGGACCCTTCCCTGGGGCTGCTGGCTGGCATCGTCCTGTATCCCCCACCCCAAATTCCTGCTTCCTTGGGGCTGGGGCCCCTCCCTGGGGCTGTCCCCCTCCTGGGGCTGGGACCCCCTCCCTGGGGCTGCTGGCTGGCATCGTCCTGTATCCCCCACCCCCAAATTCCTGCCCCCTGGGTCTGTCCCCCACATCTCTGGGGCTGGGAACGCCTCCCTGGGGCTGCTGGCCGGCATCGTCCTGTATCCCCCCACCCAAATTCCTGCCCCCGGGGCTGGGGACCCCTCCCTGGGGCTGGGACCTCTCACCCTGGGGCTGTGCCCCCTCCCTAGGGCTGGGACCCTTCCCTGGGGCTGCTGGCCGGCATCGTCCTGTATCCCCCCACCCAAATTCCTGCCCCCCCGGGGCTGTGCCCCTCTCCCTGGGGCTGGGGGGGCAGGGGCAGAGCAGGGGGCACGGCCATGGCCTAGGGGGACAGGGGGAGGTGCCAGGGTGACACAGTGACAGTGACAGGGTATCAGAGTGACCTGGTGACAGGGTGACACGGTGACAGAGTGACAGTGCCAGGGTTACACGGTGACACAGTGCCAGGGTGACCTGGTGACACAGTGACACAGTGCCAGGGTGACATGGTGACACAGTACCAGGGTATCAGGGTGACACAGTGACATGGTGACATGGTGCCAGGGTATTGTGGTGACAGGGTGACGTGGTGGATGACAGGGTGACACAGTGCCAGTCCTTAGCGCGCAGCCACGGCTACGCCCGCTGGACGGACATCCAGAACAACAGTGACACAGTGACAGGGTGACACAGTGCCAGGGTATCAGGGTGTCAGGGTGACACAGTGACACGGTGGATGACAGGGTGTCACAGTGCCAGGGTGACACAGTGCCAGTACCAGTCCTTAGCGCGCAGCCACGGCTACGCCCGCTGGACGGACACCCAGAACGACAGTGACAGGGTGACACAGTGACACAGTGACAGGGTATGAGGGCGACACGATGACAGGGTGACAGGGTATCAGGGTGACACAGTGACAGGGTGACATGGTGGATGACAGGGTGACACAGTGACACAGTGACATGGTATCAGGGTGTCAGGGTGACACAGTGCCAGGAGTGTCAGGGTGACACAGTGACAGGGTGACACAGTGACAGGGTATCAGGGTGATACAGTGCCAGGGTGTCAGGGTGACACAGTGACAGGGTGACACAGTGACAGGTTGTCGGGGTGACACAGTGACACAGTGCCAGTGCCAGTCCTTAGCGCGCAGCCACGGCTACGCCCGCTGGACGGACATCCAGAACGACAGTGACACAGTGCCAGGGTGTCAGGGTGACACAGTGACACAGTGACAGGGTGACAGGGTATCAGGGTGACACAGTGCCAGGGTGTCAGGGTGACACAGTGCCAGGGTGACACAGTCACAGTGACACAGTGACACAGTACCAGTCCTTAGCGCGCAGCCACGGCTACGCCCGCTGGACGGACATCCAGAACAGTGACACAGTGACACAGTGACAGGGTGACAGGGTGTCAGGGTGACACAGTGACATGGTGGATGACAGGGTGACACAGTGACATGGTGACATGGTACCAGTCCTTAGCGCGCAGCCACGGCTACGCCCGCTGGACGGACATCCAGAACGACGGGCGCCTTCGGGGTCATCAACGAGCCCTTCAAGGGCGAAGCCTCCAAGGGGAACTTCCTGGAGATGAAGAACAAGTTCCTCGCACGCCGCTTCAAGGTGAGGGGGGCACAGGGGGGATGGGGGGCATGGGGGCACAGGGGGCACGGGGGATGGGGGGCACGGGGTGGGATGTGCACGGGGGTCTTGCCCCAGGGCTGGGTGGGCTCGTGGGAGGGCTGGGCTTGCACAGGGGTCTTGCCCGAGTGTCCAGGGAGGGTGGAAAGGAGGAGGAGGTGGGTGCTGGGACACACCCGGGCCAGCCAGGTGGGGGGTGAGGTCAGAGAGGGGTGCTGGGACACTCCTGAGTCCTCCAGATGTTCTGGCTCCTCCAGGTGTTGGGTGACACCAGGGGTGGGCATTGGGCTCCTCCAGGTGTTGGGTGACACCAGGGGTGGGCATTGGGCTCCTCCAGGGGTTGGGTGACACCAGGGGTGGGCATTGGGCTCCTCCAGGTGTTGGGTGACACCTGGACACACCCAAGTGCTCCAGGTGTTGGGTGACACCAGGGGTGGGCATTGGGCTCCTCCAGGTGTGGGGTGACACTGGGGTGGAGATGCCCAAGTCCTCCAGGTGTGGGGTGACACCTGGACACACCTGAGTGCTCCAGGCCTTGTGTGACACCAGGGTCAGCACACCCGGCTCCTCCAGGTGTTGGGTGACACCGGGGTCGGCACACCTGACTCCTCCAGGTGTTGGGTGACACCGGGGTTGGGACACACCCAAGTGCTCCAGGTGTTGGGTGACACCTGGATGCACCTGGCTCCTCCAGGCGTTGGGTGACACCAGGGTTGGACTCCTGAGTCCTCCAGGTGTTGGGTGACACCTGGACACACACGGCTCCTCCAGGTGTTGGGTGACACCAGGGTTGGACTCCTGAGTCCTGCAGGTGTTGGGTGACACCAGGGTCAGCACACCTGGCTTCTCCAGGTGTTGGGTGACACCTGGACACACCCAAGTGCTCCAGGTGTTGGGTGACACCAGGGTTGGGCATTGGGGTCCTCCAGGTGTTGGGTGACACCGGGGTTGGGACACACCCAAGTGCTCCAGGTGTTGGGTGACACCAGGGGTGGACACCTGGACACACCCGAGTGCTCCAGGCCTCGTGTGACACTGGGGTCGGCACACCCACTCCTCCAGGTGTTGGGTGACACCTGGACACACCTGAGTCCTGCAGGTGTTGGGTGACACCTGGACACACCTGAGTCCTCCAGGTGTTGAGTGACACCTGGACACACCCGAGTCCTCCAGGTGTTGGGTGACACCAGGGTTGGACATTGGGCTCCTCCAGGTGTTGGGTGACACCTGGACACACCCGACTCCTCCATGCACGGGTGACCCCACCCACCCCCCCGTGTCCCCCACCCTCTGCTGTCCCCGCAGCTGCTGGAGCAGGCGCTGGTGATCGAGGAGCAGCTGCGCCGCGCCGCCTACCTGAACATGACGCAGGACCCCAGCCACCCCGCCATGGCCCTCAACACGCGCTTCGCCGAGGTCGAGTGCCTGGCCGAGAGCCACCAGCACTTGTCCAAGGAGTCGCTGGCGGGCAACAAGCCCGCGAACGCCGTCCTGCACAAGGAGTAAGAGGCGGGGGCCGCGCGGCTGCGCGGCCGCCCCGTGTGAGCGCCTCGGCCTCCGCACGTTAAAGGGGGGGTTGTGCTGCCAGCCCAGTCCCTGATGGAATTAACTGGGGTTGTTGTGCTGCCAGCCCAGTCCCTGATGGAATTAACTGGGGTTGTTCTCCCAGCCCTATCCCTGATGGAATTAAACGGGGTTGTTGTGCTGCCAGCCCTATCCCTGATGGAATTAAACGGGGTTGTTGTGCTGCCAGCCCTATCCCTGATGGAATTAACTGGGGTTGTGCTCCCAACCCCGCTCCCTGATGGAATTAAACGGGGTTGTTGTGCTCCCAGCCCCGCTCCCTGATGGAATTAAACGGGGTTGTTGTGCTGCCAGCCCTATCCCTGATGGAATTAAGCGAGGTTGTGCTCCCAACCCCGCTCCTGATGGATTAAGCGGGGTTGTTGTGCTCCCAGCCCCGCTCCCTGATGGAATTAAACGGGGTTGTTGTGCTGCCAGCCCCATCCCTGATGGAATTAAACGGGGTTGTTCTCCCAGCCCTATCCCTGATGGAATTAAACGGGGTTGTTGTGCTCCCAGCCCTATCCCTGATGGAATTAACTGGGGTTGTGCTCCCAGCCCTATCCCTGATGGAATTAACTGGGGTTGTTGTGCTCCCAGCCCCACTCCCTGATGGAATTAACTGGGGTTGTTGTGCTCCCAGCCCTATCCCTGATGGAATTAAACGGGGTTGTTGTGCTCCCAACCCCGCTCCCTGATGGAATTAAACGGGGTTGTTGTGCTCCCAGCCCCGCTCCCTGATGGAATTAAATGGGGTTGTTCTCCCAACCCCGCTCCCTGATGGAATTAAACGGGGTTGTTGTGCTCCCAGCCCTATCCCTGATGGAATTAAACGGGGTTGTTGTGCTGCCAGCCCTATCCCTGATGGAATTGACCAGGGTTGTGCTCCCAACCCAGTCCCTGATGGAATTAACCGGGGTTGTTCTCCCAACCCACTCCCTGATGGAATTAAATGGGGTTGTTGTGCTGCCAGCCCTATCCCTGATGGAATTAACCGGGGTTGTTGTGCTGCCAGCCCTATCCCTGATGGAATTAACTGGGGTTGTTGTGCTCCCAGCCCTATCCCTGATGGAATTAAACGGGGTTGTTGTGCTCCCAGCCCTATCCCTGATGGAATTAAACGGGGTTGTTCTCCCAGCCCTATCCCTGATGGAATGAACCGAGTTGTTGTGCTCCCAGCCCTATCCCTGATGGAATTAACGGGTTGTTCTCCCACCCGCTCCTGATGGAATTAATCGAGGGTTGTTGTGCTCCCAGCCCTATCCCTGATGGAATTGAACGGGGTTGTTGTGCTGCTAGCCCTATCCCTGATGGAATTAAACGGGGTTGTTGTGCTGCCAGCCCTATCCCTGATGGAATTAACCGGGGTTGTTGTGCTCCCAACCCGCTCCCTGATGGAATTAAATGGGGTTGTGCTCCCAGCCCTATCCCTGATGGAATTAACTGGGGTTGTTGTGCTCCCAACCCGGTCCCTGATGGAATTAAACGGGGTTGTTGTTCTCCCAGCCCTATCCCTGATGGAATTAAACGGGGTTGTTGTGCTGCCAGCCCTATCCCTGATGGAATTAAACGGGGTTGTTGTGCTCCCAACCCCGCTCCCTGATGGAATTAACTGGGGTTGTTGTGCTCCCAGCCCTATCCCTGATGGAATTAAACGGGGTTGTTGTGCTCCCAACCCTATCCCTGATGGAATTAAACGGGGTTGTTGTGCTGCCAGCCCCATCCCTGATGGAATTAAACGGGGTTGTGCTCCCAACCCCGCTCCCTGATGGAATTAAACGGGGTTGTTGTGCTGCCAGCCCTATCCCTGATGGAATTAACCGGGGTTGTTGTGCTCCCAGCCCTATCCCTGATGAATTAAACGGGGTTGTTGTGCTGCCAGCCCTATCCCTGATGGAATTAAACGGGGTTGTTGTGCTGCCAGCCCTATCCCTGATGGAATTAACTGGGGTTGTTCTCCCAGCCCTATCCCTGATGAATTAAACGGGGTTGTTGTGCTGCCAGCCCTATCCCTGATGGAATTAACCGGGGTTGTTGTGCTGCCAGCCCTATCCCTGATGGAATTAACTGGGGTTGTTGTGCTGCCAACCCTATCCCTGATGGAATTAACTGGGGTTGTGCTGCCAGCCCTATCCCTGATGGAATTAACTGGGGTTGTTGTGCTGCCAGCCCTATCCCTGATGGAATTAACCGGGGTTGTTGTGCTGCCAGCCCCGCTCCCTGATGGAATTAACTGGGGTTGTTGTGCTGCCAGCCCTATCCCTGATGGAATTAAACGGGGTTGTGCTCCCAACCCCACTCCCTGATGGAATTAACCGGGGTTGTTGTGCTGCCAGCCCCATCCCTGATGGAATTGACCGGGGTTGTTCTCCCAACCCCGCTCCCTGATGGAATTAAACGGGGTTGTTGTGCTCCCAACCCGGTCCCTGATGGAATTAAACGGGGTTGTTCTCCCAGCCCTATCCCTGATGGAATTAAACGGGGTTGTTCTCCCAACCCTATCCCTGATGGAATTAAACGGGGTTGTGCTCCCAGCCCCGCTCCCTGATGGAATTAACCGGGGTTGTGCTCCCAACCCTGCTCCCTGATGGAATTAACCGGGGTTGTTCTCCCAGCCCCGCTCCCTGATGGAATTAAACGGGGTTGTTCTCCCAGCCCGCTCCCTGATGGAATTAAACGGGGTTGTGCTCCCAACCCTATCCCTGATGGAATTAAACGGGGTTGTTCTCCCAGCCCCGCTCCCTGATGGAATTAAACGGGGTTGTGCTCCCAACCCCGCTCCCTGATGGAATTAAACGGGGTTGTTCTCCCAACCACCTCCCGCTCCCGGTGTATCCTTGCTCTGCGTGCGCTTCTCTGCCGGCCGGGGTGGGGAGGGGAGGAGAGTGAAGGGGGGTTTTAGGGGGTGGGAGGGGTCCCGTCCCCCTCCCGGCGGTTTTTGGGGGTGGGTGGGGCCGAGGGTCGGGGGCCGCCTTGGCTTTGCTGGGCTGAGGGGTCCGTGCTGGGGGTCGTGGCCTGGGGTCGGTGTCGCTTGGCGTGCGTGTCCCCTCCCCCCACCCCCACCCCTGTTTGTGCCCCCCGAGCGTGGCCGGGACTTCGTCACCCTCCCCCCACCCCGGGGTGTTCGGGGCGGGGCGGCTGCGGGTGCATGGCCTGAGTGACCCTGAGTGACCCTGAGTGACCCTGAGTGTCCTGAGTGACCCTGAGTGACCCTGAGTGACCCTGGCCTGAGTGACCCTGCCCTGTCAGCCTGAGTGACCTGTCCTGAGTGACCCTGAGTGACCCTGAGTGACCCTGAGTGTCCTGAGTGACCTGTCCTGAGTGACCTGAGTGACCCTGCCATGAGTGACCTGAGTGACCCTTTACTGAGTGACCTGAGTGACCCTGAGTGACCCTGAGTGACCTGACCTGAGTGACCTGAGTGACCCTTTACTGAGTGACCCTGAGTGACCTTTTACTGAGTGACCCTGAGTGACCCTGAGTGACCCTGAGTGACCCTGGCATGAGTGACCCTGAGTGACCTGGCCTGAGTGAGTCTGTCCTGAGTGACCTGAGTGACCCTGCCATGAGTGACCTGTCCTGAGTGACCTGTCCTGAGTGACCTGTCCTGAGTGACCTGAGTGACCCTGTCTTGAGTTACCTGAGTGACCTGTCCTGAGTGACCCTGTCCTGAGTGACCCTGAGTGACCCTGTCCTGAGTGACCCTGTCCTGAGTGACCCTGAGTGACCTGAGTGACCCTGTCTTGAGTGACCTGAGTGACCTGAGTGACCCTGAGTGACCCTGAGTGACCTGAGTGACCTGAGTGATCTGTCCTGAGTGACCCTGAGTGACCCTGAGTGACCCTGAGTGACCTGAGTGACCTGAGTGATCTGTCCTGAGTGACCCTGAGTGACCCTGAGTGACCTGAGTGACCCTGACCTGTCAGCCTGAGTGACCCTGAGTGACCTGAGTGACCCTGGAGTGACCCTGAGTGACCCTGAGTGACCTGAGTGACCTGAGTGATCTGTCCTGAGTGACCTGAGTGACCCTGTCCTGAGTGACCCTGAGTGGCCTGAGTGACCCTGAGTGACCTGAGTGACCTGAGTGATCTGTCCTGAGTGACCCTGAGTGACCTGAGTGACCCTGACCTGTCAGCCTGAGTGACCCTGAGTGACCTGAGTGACCCTGAGTGACCCTGAGTGACCCTGAGTGACCTGAGTGACCTGAGTGATCTGTCCTGAGTGACCTGAGTGACCCTGTCCTGAGTGACCCTGAGTGACCTGAGTGACCTGAGTGACCTGTCCTGAGTGACCCTGAGTGACCTGTCCTGAGTGACCCGTCCTGAGTGACCTGAGTGACCTGTCCTGAGTGACCCTTTACTGAGTGACCCTGGCCTGAGTGACCTGAGTGACCCTGCCATGAGTGACCTTGAGTGACCTGAGTGACCCTGAGTGACCTGAGTGACCCTGAGTGACCCTTTACTGAGTGACCTGAGTGACCCTGCCATGAGTGACCTGGCCTGAGTGACCTGAGTGACCTGAGTGACCCTGAGTGACCCTGCCATGAGTGACCCTGAGTGACCTGAGTGACTTGGCCTGAGTGACCCTACCATGAGTGACCTGTCCTGAGAGAGTCTGTCCTGAGTGACCTGGCCTGAGTGACCTGAGTGACCCTGTCCTGAGTGACCATGTCCCTAAAAGGGGCACCCTGGAGTGACTCCAGCGTGTCCAGTTGGTAGACCTGGAGTAGATCAGGAGTATCCCCAGAGTAGGTCAGGAGTATCCCCAGAGTAGGTCAGGAGGATCCCCAGAGTAGGTCAGGAGGATGCCCTGAGTAGGTCAGGAGTATCCCCAGAGTAGGTCAGGAGTATCCCCAGAGTAGGTCAGGAGTGCCTCATAGTAGGTCAGGAGTATCCCATAGTAGGTCAGAGTACCCCATAGTAGGTCAGAGTATCCCCATAGTAGGTCAGGAGTACCCCATAGTAGGTCAGGAGTATCCCCATAGTAGGTCAGGAGTACCCCAGTAGTAGGTCAGAGTATCCCCAGAGTAGATCAGGAGCATCCCTGAGTATCTCTGGGGTGTCCAAGGGCGTGCCCAGGGTGTAAACCCGGAGTACCCCTGGTGTGAGCACAGCTCGAGGACCCCCGGGCTGGGTGGGGGTACCCCTGGAGTGAGCTGGGAGTGCCCGAGCACCTCCTGGACCCCCAGCCCGGAGTGGGCGCCCCTTCCTCGCGTAGCTGCAGCCTCAAGTAGGTGCTGAGTATCCCTTGAGTAGCTCCCAGACTCCTCCCCACCCCCTCCCTGCCCTCACATGAGTATCCCTTGATTAGCTCCCAGACTCCTCCCCACCCCCTCCCTGCCCTCACATGAGTATCCCCTGCCCTCCCTGCCTCCTGCCGGTCTGTGAATAACCCATGAGTAACCCATGAGTAACCCATGAGTAACCCATGAGTGAGCTCTGAGTAACCCATGAGTATCCCATGAGTGAACTGTGAGTATCCCATGAGTGAGCTGTGAGTAACCCATGAGTAACCTGTGAGTAACCAATGAATAAGCTGTGAGTGAGCTGTGAGTGACCTGTAACGTGTGAGTGAGCTGTGAGTGACCTGTGAGTAACCTGTGAGTAACCAATGAATAAGCTGTGAGTGAGCTGTGAGTATCCCATGAGTGAGCTGTGAGTAACCCGAGTGAGCTGTGAGTAACCAATGAATAAGCTGTGAGTGAGCTGTGAGTGATCTGTAACCTGTGAGTGAGCTGTGAGTAACCTGTGAGTAACCCGTGCGCAGTTTGGGGACGGCCCCCCCGGCGCTGACGGGGCCCCCCCCGCCCCTGTTTTTGTCTCCCCCGGGCCGGCCGGCAGTGCTGAACCAGCTGGAGGAGCTGCTGAGCGACATGAAGGCCGACGTGACGCGCCTGCCGGCCACGCTGTCCCGCATCCCCCCCATCGCCGCCCGCCTGCAGATGTCGGAGCGCAGCATCCTCAGCCGCCTGGCCAGCAAGGGCACCGAGAGCCACCCCCCTCCCGTGAGTGTCCCCAACCCAAACAGTGTCCCCAGGGTCACCCCATCACCCCCAGCAAGGGCACCGAGAGCCACCCCCCTCCCGTGAGTGTCCCCCCCCAGGAGTGTCCCCAGGGTCACCCCTGTGCCCCCCATCACCCCCAGCAAGGGCACCGAGAGCCACCCCCTCCCGTGGAGTGTCCCCAACCCAAACAGTGTCCCCAGGGTCCTGGTCACCTCCCTGTGTCACCCATCAACCCCAGCAAGGGCACCAGAGCCACCCCCTCCCGTGAGTGTCCCCCAGGAGTGTCCCCAGGGTCCCCAGTGTCCCCAGTGACCCCCAGCAAGGGCACCGAGCCACCCCTCCCGTGAGTGTCCCCAGGGTCCCCAGGGTCCCCAGTGTCCCCAGTGACCCCAGTGACCCCCAGCAAGGGCACCGAGGCCACCCCCTCCCGTGAGTGTCCCCAGGGTCCCCAGGGTCCTGGTCACCTCCCATGTCACCCCATCAGCCCCAGCAAGGGCACCGAGGCCACCCCCTCCCGTGAGTGTCCCCTGCCAGGACAGTGTCCCCAGTGTCCCCAGTGACCTCAGTGACCCCCAGCAAGGAGCACCGAGAGCCACCCCGCCCGTGAGTGTCCCCCAGGAGTGTCCCCAGTGAGACCCCCTGTCCCCCATCACCCCCAGCAAGGGCACCGAGCCACCCCCTCCTGTGAGTGTCCCCAGTGACCCCAGTGTCCCCAGTGTCCCCAGTGACCCCCAGCAAGGGCACGAGAGCCACCCCACTCCGTGAGTGTCCCCCAGGAGTGTCCCCAGGGTCACCCTGTGCCCCCATCACCCCAGCAAGGGCACCGAGCCACCCCCTCCCGTGAGTGTCACCAGGGTCCCCAGTGTCACCCCTGTCACCCCTCAACACAGACATTGTCCCCATCACCCCCAGCAAAGGGCACCGAGCCACCCCCTCCTGTGAGTGTCCCCAGTGTCACCCCCAGGAGTGTCCCCAGGGTCCCCAGTGTCACCCCTGTCACCCATCACCCCCAGCAAGGGCACCGAGCCACCCCTCCCGTGAGTGTCCCCCAGGAGTGTCCCCAGGGTCCCCAGTGACCCCCAGCAAGGGTACTGAGAGCCACCCCCTCCCGTGAGTGTCCCCAGGGTCCTGGTCACCCCTGTCACCCCTCCAACACAGACAGTGTCCCCATCACCCCCAGCAAGGGGCACCGGGAGAGAGCCACTGAGAGGCCACCCCCTCCCGTGAGTGTCCCCAGTGTCACCCCCAGTGTCCCCAGTGATCCCCATCCCAGCCCCAGCAAAGGGACACCGAGAGCCACCCCCTCCTGTGAGTGTCCCCCCAGGAGTGTCCCCAGTGACCCCTGTCACCCCCATCACCCCCAGCAAGGGCACCGAGAGCCACCCCCTCCCGTGAGTGTCCCCCCAGGAGTGTCCCCAGGGTCCCCAGTGTCACCCCAGTGTCCCCAGTGTCACCCCAGCAAGGGGCACCGAGGCCACCCCCTCCCGTGAGTGTCCCCCAGGAGTGTCCCCAGGGTCACCCCTGTGCCCCCATCACCCCAGCAAGGGCACCGAGAGCCACCCCCTCACGTGAGTGTCCCCCAGGAGTGTCCCCAGTGTCCCCAGTGACCCCAGGGTCCCCAGTGTCCCCCCCATCACCCCCAGCAAGGGCACCGAGAGCCACCCCCCTCCTGTGAGTGTCACCCCCCAGGAGTGTCCCCAGGGTCCCCAGTGACCCCCCAGCAAGGGCACTGAGAGCCACCCCCCTCCCGTGAGTGTCCCCAGTGTCCCCAGGGTCCTGGTCACCCCCCAGTGTCCCCAGTGTCACCTCAGGCAAGGGCACCGAGAGCCAGGTGACAGGGGGAGGTGACAGGCGGTGTCCCTGTCCCCAGACCTTCCCGCCGGGTCCCTCGCCACCCCCAGCTATGGAGGCACCTCTGGGACCCCCGGCGGAGCCCTCCGCGCCCGAGGCCAGTACAGCCAGATGCCACCCGGCTCCTTCATCTCCGGTGAGGGGACAGGGGGGGTCACAAACAGCTGGGGACATTGGGGGGGTCCTGGGGACATGGAAGGCTGACATTGGTGGGTCACAGGCGATCTGGGGACATTGAGGGGACAGCCGGGACATTAGGGGGGTCCTGGGGACATTGGGGGCTCACAGCAGCTGGGGACAGTGGGAGGGACAGTGGGGACATTGGGGAGAGTCACTGGGGAGGGGGTCCTGAGGACATTGGGGGTCACAAGTATCTGGGGACATGGGGGGACAGCTGGGGACATGGGGAGGTCCTGGGGACATTGCGGGGAGTCAGCTGGTGACATGGGGGTGACAGCAGCTGGGGACATTGGGGGAGACAGTGGGGACATGTGGGAGGTCCTGGGGACATTGGGGGTCACAGCATCTGGGGGCGTTGGGGGGACAGTGGGGACATTGGGGGTCACAAACATCTGGGGACATGGTGGTGGGGGTGTCATTGGGGGTCATCAGGGGGTGTCCATGGTTGGCAGGGGGTCCCTGAGGATGTCACTGGGGGTCCCTGTGGGATGCCAGTGGGGGGGTCCTAGGGGTGTCAGTGAGGAATGGGGGTGTCAGTGGGAATGGGGGTGTCCATGGTTGAGGGGGTCCCTGTGGATATCAGTGGGGGTCCCTGGGGTCTTTGTGGGGGTCCCTGTGGGTGTCAGTGGGGGGTCCCTGGGGAATGGGGGTGTCCATGGTTGGGGGTCCCTGGGGTGTCAGTGGGGGTCCCTGGGGAAATGGGGGTGTCCATGGTTGGTGGGGGTCCAGGGGTGTCACTGGGGGTCCCTGGGTGAATAGGGGTGTGTCCATGGGTGGTGGGGGTCCCAGTGGATGTCATTGGGGGTCCCTGTGGGTGTCAGTTGGGGGTCCCAGGAGGTGTCATTAGGGATCCTGTGGGGTGTCATTGGGGGTGTCAATGGGGGTCCCTGTGGGTGCCATTGGGGGTCCTGAGGTGTCAGTGGGGAATGGGGGTGTCCATGGTTGGGGGGTCCTGGGGGGTGTCAGTGGGGGTCCCTGTGGGTGCCATGTGGAGGGTCCCTGGGGGTGTCAGTGGGGAATGGGGATGTCCATGGTTGGTGGGGTCCTGGGGGTGTCAGTGGGGGTCCCTGTGGTGCCATTGAGGGTCCTGGGGGTGTCAATGGGGGGGTGTCAGTGAGGGGTCCCAGGGGTTTTTGTGGGGTCCCTGTGGGTGTCATTGGGGATCCCGTGGATAAATGGGGGTGTCCATGGTTGGTGGGGGTCCCACGGGGTGTCATTGGGGGTCCTGGGGAATGGGGGTGTCCATGGTTGGTGGGGGTCCCTGAGGGTGTCAATGGGGGTCTGGTGGGGTCCTGAGAATGGGGGTGTCCATGGTTGGTGGGGGTCCCAGGGATGTCAATGGGGAGTCCCAGGGGTGTCACTGTGGGGTCACTGTGGGTGTCCGTGGGGGAATGGGGGTGTCCATGGTTGGTGGGGGTCCCTGTGGGTGTCAGTGGAGGTGTCCATGGTTGGTAGGGGGTCCCTGGATGAATGGGGGTGTCCATGGTTGGTGGGGGTCCCTGGATGAATGGGGGTGTCCATGGTTGGTGGGGGGTCCCAGGGGTGTCATTGGGGGTCCCTGGGTGAATGGGGGTGTCCATGGGTGGTGAGGGGTCCTGGTGAATGAGGTGTCCAGTGGGGGTCCTGGGGGAATGGGGTGTCCATGGTTTGGTGAGGGTCCCTGGATGAATGGGGGTGTCCATGTGGTGGTGGTCCCTGGGGGAATGGGGGTGTCCATGGTTGGTAGGGGGTCCCTGGGGGTGTCACTGGGGGTCCCTGGTGAAATGGGGGGTGTCCATGGTTGGTGGGGGTCCCAGGGGTGTCATTGGGGGTCCCTGGATGCAATGGGGGTGTCCATGGTTGGTGAGGGGTCCCTGGGGATTGGAGGGTGTCCATGGTATGCGTGGGGGTCCCTGGATGAATGGGGGTGTCCATGGTTGGTGGGGGTCCCTGTGGGTGTCAGTGGGGGTCCGTGGGGAATGGGGGTGTCCTATGGGTGTCATTGGGGGTCCCTGGGGAATGGGGGTGTCCATGGTTGGTGGGGGTCCCTGGATGAATGGGGGTGTCCATGGTTGGGAGGGGTCCCTGTGGGTATCATTGGGGTTCCCTGGATGAATGGGGGTGTCCATGGTTGATGGGGGGTCCCTGGGGGTTTTGTGGGGGTCCTGTGGTGTCCATGGGGTTCCCTGGGAATGGGGAGTGTCCATGGTTGGTGGGGGGTCCCTGGGGGAATGGGGGTGTCCATGGTTGGTGAGGGGTTCCCGAGGGGTCCCAGTGCCCCCCGACCCCCTTTTTCCCCCAGCGCCAACGGCCCTGTGCTGGTGAAGCGCGAGCCCGAGGCCGGAGAAGAAGGAGCCGAGGGGAGGTCATCTGCATCGACGACTGAGGGGAGGGGGCCCGGGGACCCCCGACCTGGGATCACCCCCTTCCTCCCTGCCCCTCCCCGCAGGATTTGGGGGATCCCCTGCCAGAAACGCCTCGTTTGACCTCAAATTTGGGGTGGGGAGGGGCAGTACCCCCGGCAGGGGGTGGGGAGGAGGGAGGAGGAGAGGGGGAAAGGTGGGGAGGGGATCGTTTTTGTTGGTGGGGAGGGGAGGGGGTGGGGAAGGACCACTGCGATTATAAATATGAATATATATATATATCCCGGGAGGGGCTCCCAGGGTGTCCCCAGAGGCCTCCTCGGCCCCTCCCCCTCCTCCTCCCTCCCCACCCGGGGTTGGGCTCTTGTTTAACCGCAGCTGAATAAAATCCCCCGTCCTTGGCTACGGCAAACGGGACCACCCTCAGGGGGATGGGGGCATCGGGGGTATCAGGGAGTTTCGGGGGCATCAGGGGTGTAGGGGGCATCGGGGGATGGGTTCAGGGGGCACCAGGGAGGGGAAGGGGGGAGGTCAGGGGGCACTGGGAGAGTGTAGATGGGGGATGGAGGGGCACTGGTGGGGGCATTGTGGGGCACTGGGGGTTGTATTTGGGGGCGAGGGGGCAACAGGAGGGCACGAGGAGGGCATTGAGGGGGCAACGCAGGGGGCTCCGGGGGCACCAGGGAGGGGAAGGGGGGTTACGGGGGGCACCAGGAGGGGGCATTGTGGGGGCACCGGGGAGGGGACATTTCTGGGCTCCAGGGGGTGGGGCGGGATGGGGGGTGGTCACGGGGGTGGGCATTGGGGGTGGGAGGTGGTCACTGAGGGTGGGGGTGGTCACTGAGGGGTGGAAATGGTCGTGGTCACCACGGGATGGTCAAAGGGGGTCGTGGCCACCACGAGGGTGGGGATGGTGGTCCTGGGTCACACCAGGGGGTGGTCATCAAGGGTGGCCAACTAACCCTGACCCAATCCCACCCTCCCAAATCCCCTTAAATTCAGGCCCTCCCCACGATCCGCCCAAATCCCCTCCCCCAAATCCTCCCCACCCCCAAATTCAGGCCCCTCACAGCCCCCCAAAATCCAAGCCCCAATCCCACCCCTAGCCCCAAATCACCCCAAATCCAGACCCTCCCCACAGCCCTCCAAATCCATCCTCCCCAAGCCCCAAATCTCCTCCAACCCTAAAAAAATCACGAGGCCTCTCCCCAGCGTGGGAAAAACCCAAAAGCCACTTTTATTGATTTCCCTCCCCACCGGTGGGGAGGGGCGGGAGAGGGGCGTGGCCACATTCGGCCCCACCCCTCCCACTGGAAGCGCTGTGATTGGTCGGGGGTCGTTTTGGGGGAATGGGGGCGTGGCTTGTGCTTTGTTTGGCCCCGCCCCTTTCCAGAAAGGGGCGGGGTTATTGCTCTGTCGATGAGGAGGCCCCGCCCACCAAAGCGGGGGCGGGGCCGAGGCGGGAGGAGGGGCAGGGCCATGCGGGGAGGCAGCCAATGGGAGCGGGGAGGGCGGGGCTTAGGGCGGGAGGCCCCGCCCAGGAGGGTCTCGAGCTCCTGGAGGGTCGAGGGGCCCAGACAGGGAACGACCTGAGGGGGGAGGAGAGACCCCAAAATCAGCCCCCAAAAACACCGAGGGACCCCCAAAATCCTAGGACCCCCAAACGCCCCCTAGGATCCCCACAATCACACCCAGGACCCCCAAAACCCCCTGGGATCCCCAAAATCAGCCACCCAGGACCCCAAGATCTCGCTAGGACCCCCAAAATCAGCCTCCAGACAACCAGGACCCCCAAAACCACATCTGGGACCCCTAAATCCCACCTGGGACCCACAAAATCACACTAGGATCCCCAAATCAGCCCCCACCCACTCTAGAATCACACCCCGACCTCAGAGCCCCCTGGGACCCCAAAATCACCCGGACCCCAAAACCCCTGGGACCCCCAAGATCACACAGGACCCCCAAAATCAGCCCCCAAAATCACACCTGGGACCCCAAAATCACATAGGACCCCCAAATCCCCTCTGGGACCCCAAGATCACACCTGGGACCCCCAAAACCCCCTGGGACCCTAATATCACACCTAGGACCCCAAAATCACACAAGACCCCAAAATCAGCCCCCAGACATTCCCGGGACCCCAAATCACACCTGGGACCCCAAAGCCCCCTGGGACCCCAAGATCACACCCTAGGATCCCCAAAATCAGCTCCACCGGCACCCCAAAATCACCCCGACCTCCGAACCCCTGGGACCCACAAATCACACCCAGGACCTAGATCAGAGCCCCTAAAATCACACCTGGGACCCCCAAAATCACACCTGGACCCCAAAATCACACACAAGACCCCCAAAATCAGCCCCCAGACATTCCCGGGACCCCCAAAATCAATCACTGGGACCCCCAAACCCCTGGGACCCCCAAGATCATCACACCCAAGACCCACAAAATCACACCCGGGACCCCCAGATTCCCTCCAGGACTCCCCTGGGACCTCCCAAACCTCCCCAGGACTCCCAATCCCCTCCGATAACTAGCCCCTAGGACCCCCAAAACCCCCAGGGACTCCCAAATCCCCTAGGACCCCCAAGCCCCTCAGGGACCCCAATCCCCTCAGGACCCCCAAACCCCTCAGGGACCCCAAATTTCCCCCTAGGACCCCAAACCCCTCAGGGACCCCAAAATTTCCCCCAGCACCCCCCAAACCCCTCAGGGACCCCAAATCCCCCAGGGGACCCCAAACGCCCCCTCAGGATCCCCAGAATTCCCCAGGACCCCCAAACCCCCCCAGGGACCCCCAAATCCCCAGGACCCCCAAAACCCCTCAGGGACCCCAGAATCCCCCAGGACCCCCAAACCCCCTCAGGGACCCCCAAATTTCCCCCAGGACCCCCAAACCTGCAGGGCCTGGAGCTGCTCCGCAGCCCCTGGGGTCTCGGCGCCCACCGGGACGGGAGGTGACGCCCTCGGCCTGCAGGGACCAGGCTGGGGACACCCCCAAAGGTCACCTCGGGGTCCAGCTTGGGGTCACCCACCCCCAGGATGTCACCTCGGGGTCACCCACTCCCTGTGTCACCCCCAGAGTCACCCAATGATGTCACCCACCTTGTGTCACCCCGATGTCCCCAATGTCCCCCAATGTCCCCAATGTCCCCCAGTGTCCCCAATCCCCCAATGTCCCCCAATGTCCCCAATGTCCCCCAATGTCCCCAATGTCCCCCAACATCCCCAATGTCCCCCAATGTCCCCCAATCCCTCCAGTGTCCCCAATGTCCCCAGTGTCCCCAATGTCCCCTCCCAATTCCCCAATGTCCCCTCAATGTCCCCAATGTCCCCCAATCCCCCAATGTCCCCAATGTCCCCAATGTCCCCAATCTCCCAATGTCCCCAGTGTCCCCAATCCCCCAATGTTCCCCAATGTCCCTCAATGTCCCCAATGTCCCCCAATGTCCCCAATTCCCCAGTGTCCCCAATGTCCCTCCAGTGTCTCCAGTGTCCCCTCATCAATCCCTGCCATTGTCCCCCAGTGTCCCTGATCCTCCCCAATGTCCCCCAATCCCCAGTGTCCCCAAATGCCCTCCCAATGTCCCCAATGTCCCCAGTGTCCCCTAACCTCCCCCAATGTCCCCAAGCCCCCAATGTCTCCCAATCCCCCCAGTGTCCCCAATGTCCCCCAGTCTCCCCAGTGTCCCCCAATGTCCCCACAAGTCCCTCCCAATCTCCCCAATCCCCCCAAGTGTCCCCAATCCCCCAATGTCCCCCAATGTCCCCAACCCCCAATGTCCCTCCAGTGTCCCCAGTGTCCCCTCACCAATCCCCAGTTGTCTCTCAGAGCACCCCAATTTCTGGGCCAGCGGCCGCAGCTCCTCCGGTGCCACCGCCCAGCGGGGCCGGCCCTGGGGACACAGGGACAGGGGGACACCTGAGGGACATTGAGGGGACACCTTGGGGACATTGAGGGGACACAGGGACAGGGGGACACCTTGGGGACATTGAGGGGACATTGGGGGGACATTGGGGGGACACCTTGGGGACATTGGGGGGACACCTTGGGGACACGGATAGGGGGACACCTTGGGGACATTGGAGGGACATTGGGAGACATTGGGGACATTGGGGACATTGAGGACATTGGGGGACATGAGAGATGGGGATTGGACATGGGACATTGAGGGACATTGGGGACATTGGGGACATTGGGGACATTGGGGACAGAGGACACCTTGGGGACATTGAGGACATGGGGACATTGGGGGACATTGAGGACATTGGGGACATTGGGACTTTGGGGACATTGGGGACATTGGAGGACATTGGGGGATTGGGGACATTGGGGACATTGGGGGACATTGAGGACAGGGGGACACCTTGGGGACATCAGGAGTCCCAGGGGCTCAGGGGTCACAGGGGGTCAGGGGGTCCCAGGGGGCTCAGGGGTCCCGGGTGGTCAGGGGTCCTGGGCGAGGTCAGGGGTCACAGGGTGGTCAGGGAGTCACAGGGGGTCAGGGGTCCTGGGGGTCAGGGGTCCCACGGGGGGTCAGGGGGTCCCAGGGGGCTCAGGGGTCCCAGGGGTCAGGGTCCAGGGGGTCCCTGGGGGTCAGGGGTCCTGGGGGTCTCAGGGGTAGCGGGGGGGTCAGGGGTCCTGGGGGCTCAGAGGGTCCTGGGGGCTCAGGGGTCCCAGGGGGCTCAGGGGTCCTGGGGGTCAGGGGTCCTGGGGGCTGAGGGGTCACAGGGTGGTCAGGGGTCCCAGGGGTGGTCAGGGGTCCCGGGGGGTCAGGGGTCCTGGGGGTCAGGGGTCCTGGGGGCTCAGGGGTCCTGGGGGCTCAGGGGTCCTGGGGGTCAGGGGGTCCCAGGGGGTCAGAGGGTCCCAGGGGGCTCAGGGAGTCCTGGGGAGGCCAGGGGTCCTGGGGTGGTCAGGGGTCACAGGGGGTCAGGGGTCCCAGGGTGGTCAGGGGTCCCGGGGGCTCAGGGGTCCCGGGAGGTCAGGGAGTCCTGGGGGCTCAGGGGTCCCTGGGGTCA